AAAAAAAAAAAAAAAAAAAAAAGCTGGCCAGTACCTTTAATCCCCTGTACTTTGAGGCAGAGGCAGGCAGATCTCTGAGTTCAAGACTAGCCTGGTCTACAGAGTGAGGGCTGCACAGAGAAACCCTGTCTCAAAAAACAACAACAAAAAAAAATCCGTTTAGAAGGTGTGTGAGAGTGCAGGCACACAGTCCACAACACATGCGCTGGTCAGCCTCGGGGGTTGGGCCTCACTTTCCACCTTGCTTGAAACAGAATTTCTCTCATTGCTCACTGAAGTGAATACTAGGCTAGCTGGTCCAACAGCTCCCGGCAGTTCTCTCTGCACCTCACATTTCCCAGGACAAGGTATTAGTGGCATGCTAGAATTACAGGCATTTCAGCCACTATCATGTCTGGATTTGTTTGTGGATTCTGGGGATCCAGACTCAAACTTGGCTCATCAGACTAGCACAGCAAGCACTGCCCACTGCACTGTCTCTGGGGTTGGGGGTAGGAATCTCTTAAACCAAGTTAACTAGGCACAGCAAAGGGCGAGGCAGGGCACCTTACTGAAAACTGGAATGAATTAAGTGAAAGTTTGCTTATTAAATGTAGAGACTCCTGGGTTTCTTTTCCAAAAGATCGTGAAAGCCAAGACCTCAGCTCATCTCTAGACAGCTTAGGTAGCTAGGAAGAAAGGCCTAAAGAGACTGATAAGGTTCCTTCAGGTCCAGCTGGCCAGTTCTCCCCATCACTGAGTCAACAGCTGAGAAATACTACCTAAGCCACAGACCTTCAAATGAGCTCGGTAGGGCCAATCAGCTTTGAAATATGATGCGTTAAGGCCATTGAACATTTAAGGAACACCAATCATGTAATATAAGTCAAAGCAAGGAAAATCCCCTGGAAAGTAATAAGCTAGAAGACATGTAAGGCATGTCATTACCTGCTTATATGTGTTTGGATTAAGCAATGAACTGATGTCTGCAAAAAAAAGTTATTAAAGTGTATATCATTTTATGAATATATCATTATATTTGTATATATGCAAATATATGTATTATAAGTATTTTCAAAAAACGTATATAATCATAAAAGATTTAGGCACTGATGTGGTGGTGCATGTCTATAATTCCTCATTAGGATGCATAGGCAGGATGATTGCTTCAGTTTAAGCCTTAAACCAATGGTTCTCAACCTTTCTGATACTGTAACCCTTTAATACAGTTCCTCATGCTGTGGTGACCCCCAACCATAAGATTATTCTGTTGCTACACCACAACTGTAATTTGCTACTATGATGAACTGTAATGCAAATATTTAATATGCAGGATATCTGATATGCAACCTCCAAGAGGGTCACTACCCACAGGTTGAGAATTCTTGGTTTAAGTCCAGCCTGGTCTTGATAGCTAGATTTAGGGCTGTCAGGTCTACAGACTAGGGCCTATCACAAAAACAAAAACAAAAGAATTTGGGTGTGGTAGTGGCTTACACCTGTTATCCCTACACTCAGGAGGTCACTTCTTTGCAGCCAGTCTGGATACTTAGTGAGCTCTGGGCCAGAGGAGACTACAGTAAAATTTAAATGAAGACAGTGGTAAGCAGGGAATGATGACAAATGTTTATAGTCCCAAGCACTAAGGAGGCTGGGGAAGGAGAAAGGTGAAAGGAAGGAAGGAAGGAAGGAAGATAGACTATAAAAGAGAATTTTAAGAGAAAAAACCCTCTTGGACAAACACATGGAAAGATGTTCAGTGTCATTACTTATGAAGAAAATACAAATCAAAACCATTTCACACTTGCTAGGATAGCAATACAAGAAGAAAATAAGCAGCGCTGGGCAAAGCTCATATCCATATATAATCCAAGCCTCCAGGCTGGATCGTGGCCATGAGGTCCTAAGCTAGCCTCAGCTAGTCAGTTCTACAGAAAAAGACCCTGTCCAAAAAAAAAAAAAAAACACCTTCAAAATGTTAGTGAGCTTATGGAAAAACTGGAATCCCACATACTACTGGCAGGAATATAAAACGGTACAGCTACTGTACTGAACTGATAAGCAACTCTCAAAAAAATTACATGGAATTTCCATATGGGATCCAGGGACATGCTGATAGGCCAAGCTATTTGGGAAGCTGAGACATGAGGATCTCTTGAGACCATGAATTCAAGACAAGCCTAGGGAAATAGTGAGATCTTGTTTCAAAAACACACAAAATGGTGCTGGAGAGATGGCTCAG